CATCTCATGCCCTCTCAAAGGTCAGGGCCCAACCATAGGGCACACACACAAACATACTTACATAACATACATAACATACAACTGTTTGTAGTCATGAATCATATGATCCATCATTAAGGGCAGACCAGATCAACACACCAATGGTTGGTGGGTGTACTTTGCAAGGGTCACAAAAAAATCAATATCAAGGAAAAATTCACCACTTTACCTTTGTCCCCTCAATGGTCCATAACCAACCACTCAATCGCGTCTTCTCGATCTCTCTCTCCTATCACTGTCTTCCCTTGACCTTCGATCATTCTCGTGCTTCCTTGATCTCGAATCGTGATCCTGGTGCCTCCTTGTTTTCTCATACATCCTGTCACGATCTCTTGGTGACTTTGGTTCACCATAGTAGTCTTCCTTGTTGCTGATTTCCTTTTCTTTTAGCTTTGGTTGCTTCTTCTCAACACCTCCACTGTGCCTATCTACTGAATCCACTCTTTTATGCTCCTTGTGCACGTCACTGTGGTTTTCATGCCCCCATTTTGAACGTCTATCTTCTTCACGTCCCCAACCCGTGTTTGCAGCTCTCTGCAGACACACATTAGAACAACATTTTTTTCATTCTTAACTTTTTGTAACCTTCTAATGAATTACTCAATGAATAAATTTAACGTTTGCCGTTTTGGTCTGTCGTAGATAACGTTCACTATATACTTTTATCATCGTTTTTTCATTTTTCCTTGTGGTTGTTATTGTTTCTCTCCTTTCTAAACAAATTTTAACTGTAGTTTCTAGTTTCTACATTATTAAAGACCTTGCAAAGTCAAAAGGGTAGAGGAAAAGGGATGTAGGAAGTATACAATTATACAATATGACATTACAAATTCTTCAATTCTTCAAGAATACAATGACAACTCGAGTCATACACTAAGTACAACAAAATAAAATTCAATGTCAATTTATTAAATAGATGTGAAGTCAGACTTACTTGTTCATCATGAGAAAACTTGCATCCATCTCCCCTGTTGCATTCTCCCTTTTGAAAGGCACGGCACACACCCCTTTCTTCTCTTTTCTTCCTTGCCGTCTCTTCATCCTCTTCCTCTTTCTTCTTATAGTTACTGGCGTGGTCCACTCTAATAATTCGTCCAAGAATTTGTGCACCGTTCAGATTATCTGTTTATGCAATAAAAGTGAAGATCACGATTAATAAATTGAACTACCACATTCATGTATTTTAGGAGTATTGTATGACAGATAGGTACCACAGTAAAATAATGAGATATATCATATAAAATCTGCCTATTAAGCAACTGACCTACAGCAAGATTTGTACTTCTCTGGTCCTCATAAGCAACGAAAGCAAAGCCTTTTGACTTTCCAGTACCCTTATCTCTAACAAGATTCACATCAACTATCTCGCCATATCTAAAATTGCATGATTAAAAAATCAAAATTAGTTTTTCAGATTTTTCAATCCCCAATCGGAAATATATTCCCTCCATCCCATAAAATTCCTTACACTTTCCTTTTTTTTGGATGTCCCAAAAAATACCTTACACTTACTTTATTCCCTATTTTGGTAATGAATATGTGACTATAATAATTCTCTCCCCTAAACAAACTCTAATTTCACACTTTTTACTTTTCAACAACTCTCTTAAACTCCATGAATAAAAAGTGTCAAGGATTTTATGGGACAAAGAGAGTATATGTGAATTGAGTCCAAATAGTAAAATACATACTGAGCAAAAACGGCCAGTAGATCGCCTTCAGTGAGGTCATAGGGGACCCCACCAACAAAAACATAAGCTGATTCTTTGTACTTGGCATGCCACGAAGCATCTTCGGATAAACCTAATGCGGCTTCCTTTGCATTTATGTTCTGGATACGCTTTACTAATGTTAATGGATTCATTTGAACTCTTCCACTATGCGGGAATTCTGCATCATCAAACTTTTCAAATATTAAAAAGCATGCACTTAATATAGAACTTAAAACTATACAAAGGCAGCCTAAAGGTTCGTCATTCAATGTCATTATTTTAATAACATTATTTGGATAAAAACTGTACTCGATAAAGATCAGTTCCTATGATTGAGTACAAGGAAAACAACATTCACAACTCTTTTTATTAAGAAATCTTTAACCATTGTGATCATATATGTATAGGAAGCCTGAAAGTGGTGAATTGGGAGATTTCTCTTAGAATTAAAGACAGGAATTGGGAAGTTCTTCCTTTGTTACTGCTTTGTCTGGAGATGAGAGGGGTCCAGACACAATTCATCCATTGTTACCAAATTTGTTCAGTTTTCTAATACAAATTAGTAATATAAATCATCATAAGTCATCTGCTATGTCAAATTGTGCTTCTTCTTAATCATTCACATTCAGAACATCAGAGACTTCTTCCGACAGAATTCACACATGTGACACATTACTACCAATAAAGTCTGAGCTTTATAACTTTCAATCCACAAAATCATTATGAAGTGAACCGAGTCGACTCATCAATCAATCCTGAGTTAGTGAATACAATTACCGGAATACCTGGAGGGTGCGGAGCAGCGGAGGCGTCCGACGGCGTTCTCTGGATCTTGGCGGTCGGCGCGCTCTCTCTCTCTCTATTTGGCTACTGGCCGCGCTGGGGTTTCTCTCGTGACTTTTGCGGGATTCTGGAAGTAAGGGCTAAGGACCGCTTTGAGTTATTAGGCTGGCCTGTTGTATACTCCCTCTATCGACCATAGATCTTCCCAGACACTATTCACATGGTCAAACTTTACTTACTTTGTTTGCTCAATTTTACTAGTCATTTCATAAAATAATATAGTCTTGTCACCTCTAGTTTTGTAGAACTTTTCATGTAGTTTATTACTATATAAATTTTATTTTAAAATTTTACTCCTATAATCAATTAAATTGAATTGAAAATAAAGTCGGTCAAGTCTCGTAACGCGTAATGGGAAGATCATACATGGACGGAGGGAGTATATAGTAGACTAAATTCCATAAAAGTTCCACAGTTATAGATCGTTTTACATATTTAATTCTTACATAACAAATATTACTAATTTATTCCTCAATTATTAGATTCATTTCAACGAATGGTCCTTTGTTAACATTTTCGTTAAGAACGTGGATAAAATTGTAAATTCGCACTCCTTTCTCTCCTCAATTAAGCTTCCTCCCTCCCCTCACACTCTTTCCCAAACCCATCGCTGAGTTTGAAGCTTTGAATCCAAAACTGAAATCATCACTCTTCTCTCAATAGTTTTTTGAACGGGTGGAATCCAAATTCGAAACTAGTAACCTTCATGGATGAGTTTTAATGTTCATTTTCTTTACAATTTCATGAGACTAACCGATAAAACTCATCCATAAAGTTTATTGGTTTTGATTTTAGTTTCCACCAGGAAGACTAATAATTGAGAGAGGAGTGATCATTTCAGTTTTGGATTTAAAGGTTCAAACTCAGCGACGACTTTGGGATAGAGTACGAGAGGAGGGAGAAAGCTTAATTGAGAAGAGAGAGAAGTATGAATATACAATTTTATCCATGTTCTTAACAAAAACGTTAACAAAGAACCATTCGTGAAAAATTATATAATAATTAGGGACTAAATTAGTAATATTTGATATGTAGGGACTAAATAAGTAAAACGACCTATAACTGAGAACCTTTTATGGAATTTACTCTACATATTATCTGTGACACAAAATGTAAGTGCGAAACTGCCAGCGTTGCACTTACATTTTATATTAGTGTTAACTATTATACATCCGGTTGTACTTAGAGATAACTATAGCCGGCGTTTAATAGGGGCGAAAGGAAGAAATCAACGATGAAGGAGGCTGGCCGATCGAAAGTTTGCTCGGATCTGGGGTGATGTGCAGATCAATGATGATGTGCGGATTTATTCTTCGCGTTTGTATCGATTCTTAGGGTTTTAGGATGATGCGGTGATGATGATGAAGAAGGAAGACCAGTGATGATGATGGGGTTTTGCCGGTGATGATTCTGCAGAATTGAAGAAGCTGTGATGATGCGGTGATGATGATGAAGGAAGATCGTTGATGAAGATGGGGTTTTGTCGGTGATGATTCTGCAGGGTAAGAATGTGTACTACTAGGTTTTAGAATGTGTATTAGGTTATTCGTAAATGAATATTGTACAAATGTGTGAAAATGAATACTACGTTTTTTCAGAATGAGTAACATGGTTTTTCAAAATGAATGTTTATGTTGATGCGAGAATGAAAACTACTTTACTTCAGAATGACTGCCCGGATGTACCTATCTCAGGTACCATATACTATATCCGTCCCACTGTCTTTGTCCACTTTTGACTTTTGGGAATGTTCATCTAAGCACTTTGATTCATCAAATTTTCTCAATGTGTAAGTCTAAATATAGTCATGTGTGATCTTGTTTGATTTGTCTTAACATATAGATTATTAATATATAATTTCTATAATTTTTTAATATACAAATTACAAGATAAAATGAATAAAAGAAATGCATTGAATGGTGTGCCAAAAAGTAAGTAGACAAAGACAGTGGGAGGGAGGGAGTATTAGACTAGCGCAGAATTTGATGTACGGAAGATTTGTCCGGTTAGATATGCGCCACGTGACTCCCGCCATTTAATTAGTCCAAAAGACCAAAGCAACCCGGATAAACTACCGCTTCCTTCCTCTACTGGCTCTACAAGCCACAACTCCAAGGACACTTTCGTCATTGCATTCAAACAAAACTCGGGTTTCCAACTCCTTCACCTTCTTTCCGCACGCGGAGTACTCTGCAATTCTCTGCTCTCCCCAAAATGCCCCCTCAGACCAGAAGGACGCCGTTCCCCAAAGTGGTGGTGGAGCGCGACTCCGATTCCGAACAGAGCACGTCGTCGGAGGAGGAGGAGGAAGAAGAAGACTTGGTACGAGAAAAAGAAGTTGAAGACGAAGAAGTTGAAGAGAAGACAGAAGACGATTCGTCGCCGAAGAAGAATGGGAGACCGCATATTACAATCAGTCTCAAAAAAGTCTGCAAGGTTTGGGCTTTTTTTTAAAAAAAATTCCCATTGATTAATGATTAATTTGATGTTCTTATTGTTAACTTATTTAGTTAGATTTGTATTGAATAGAAAACTTTTTCAGGTTTGCAAGAGAACTGGCCATGAAGCGGGCTTCAAGGGGGCGACCTACATTGACTGCCCGATGAAGCCATGTTTTCTCTGCAAAATGCCCGGTATTTCTGAATCTTCCATTTTATTCTGTTCATTGTTATCCGTTTGGTACGGGTGATTAGGTTTTAGGTTTGGGTTTTACCAGGAACAAAACTTCTTATTAAGAGGAGTGAAGCAAGTTGTATTATTGCAGAATTTTCCATTTTAGGTCATATCATATCTCAAGTGAAGAAGGGAAGAAGAAGTTGTGTTTGGATTCATTATAACAGTTCCATATTTGGAAGTTATTCTTTAATTTGACTGTTTCCTAGTGCAATGTGAACTGTAATGCCAGATTTCACTTTGATATATTGGTTTTGATTACGAAAATATGTTTTTTTTTTTATTTTTATTTGAAATTCCTGCTGAAGGGCATACCACAATGTGTTGTCCACATCGAGTGTCAATGGAATTTGGCGTCGTTCCAGCGCCACGTAGAAACAGGGAAAATCCTTTGGAATATTTTTTCCAACGTCAGATTCAACCCCGCACCCATCCTGTAAGCTTTCTCTGGTTTCTCCCTTGACAACTGGTCATGGACGCTCTTGTTCCTGACTTTATTCCTTGGACTCCTTGGAGGAGATGAATGGTCTGTTTGGAACATGGAAAGTGTTAGTGGGGAAAATCTGCTAGAGGGGAAATTTTGAAGGAAAGAAAATTTGAGTCAAAATAAAAGCTTTGCTTCAAACTAAATAAATCAGTTTTAGATCTTTGTGCACACTCTTTATTTATACATACTCCCTTCATCCCCAAAGTAAATTACTAGTAACACTTTCTTTTTTGTCCGTCCCAAAAAATCTCCATACTTTTCTGATTTCCTTTTTAAGAAAATCAATATGTGATCCACAACATTTCTTACTCTTCTAAACATTTTAACATTTTCCTAAAACTCCATGAAGTCAAACTATAAATTATTTTTGAGGATCGATGGAGTAAAATATACCAAGTATAAAAACAAAGAAATATAAATTTTTATAATTTTTGTATATTTTAATCCTATTTCATATAGCTTTGTATTTTTCATGGCAAATTCAAAAATCAAGAAGCTTTTTTTCTTCACATTTTCATCGTTCCATTACCATCCGCAATCCAAACCTAGCCTTTAAGATATTGATTGTTCTGTTTATTTAATACTCCAAAACAGATCAAGCCGGCATTCATGATCCCAGATCAAGTCCGTTGTGCTGTTATTCGATATCATAGTAGACGAGTTACATGCTTGGAGTTTCACCCTACTAATAACAACATTCTTTTATCCGGTGATAAGGTTTGTGTTCTTCTTTTGCTTTTCTCATACTCCAACTACTTTCCGTAAGCAATGGTATTTGTGTTTTGTGATTACCTTTTCTTCTGCTGTTAAAAGAAAGGGCAACTTGGAGTTTGGGATTTCGCAAAAGTACATGAGAAGATTGTATATGGAAACATACATGGTTGTATACTTAACAACATGAAGTGAGCAATCTACTTGTTTTTTATAAGCATAAACATATGTAATATTTTCTAGTGCTATACCGCTATGTCTCTTTTGTGCATTTTTCTGAATGAAACAAATGGATTCTCTATAGGTTCAGTCCAGCAAATGATGCATCCATATATGCTGCATCTTCAGATGGAACAGTTAGTCACACTGATATAGAGACTGGAATTTCTTTGTCGTTGATGAACCTTAATCCTGATGGGTGGCAGGTGATTTTTCTATAGCCATATACATTCTTCTCATTGCATCTCACTAATTTATACTATGTATTTCGTAACTTTGAAGAACCGCCTAATAAGGCGCAAAGTACCCACTTCATTTGATTCAAATAGAGCTTTGTTAAGACATTGGATTGGATTTATTCTCTAATGGTCTTATGCCAATGACTTTTTTTCCTATTCGTTTTCATGTCTGGTCTTCAATGTGAAGATTTCTGCTGTGTGTTGGATCTTTTATACAGAAGCTTATTGATTTTATCTTTTTTTGTTGGGGGGAGGGGGGGGGGGGTGCTCAGAGCCTAGCTCCGCCCCTGGTAACAGTTTATCACACATAGATTTCTTATTCCGGTGTGCTACTGTTGAATATGCGTGGAAGTTATTGCTAAATTTTCCCTTGATCTCTCAGTTCCTTTTTAAATGTTTTGGTCCGTTGGGGAAAAATAACGATGGCTATAGATATTGGATAGGGGTAGGAAGGAGAAGGAAGTGTGTCAACAACAACAACAACCCAGTTGAATCCCACTACAGTAGGGTCTGGGGAGGGTGTGTGTACGCAGACCTTGCCCCTACTCGGAAGTAGGGAGAACGAAGTGTGTCCATTACATTAATTTGTCAGACCTATAAAATGAACCCATGCAAGTCCAAATATGAACTATGTTTCTTTTATGTGTAGGGAGTAAGCACTTGGAGGATGCTTTATGGGTTGGAAGTAAATCCAGAAAGAAATGTTGTACTCATTTCTGATAATTTTGGATATCTCTATATGTATGTATGCTTCAAATTTTCTACTCTCATACAAACGTGTATTGATAACCCATATAGTTTACCTAACATTGAATTAAATTAACTAACTCATTTCTTTAAATTCTGAAGGGTCGACGTTAGGAGCAATAATGTAACTGGTGAGCCACTCTTGATTCACAAGAAGGGAAGTAAAGTCGTTGGTCTTAACTGCAATCCTTTCCAGCCAGATCTACTGTTGAGTTGTGGAAATGATCACTTTGTAAGTTTTGATGGTCAATCTATATGATCTTTACTACAGTCTCTTGGCTTATTGAACTCTTTTCTGATCTTTACTACAGTTTGTAACTCTTTCAAGCTATTCCCTCTAATCATGGGGAAAAAAGATCTAATGGTTTTTCATCGTAGGCACGTATATGGGACATGCGTCAGTTGAAATCTGGTTCTTCTCTTTGCAATCTACCACACAAACGTGTTGTCAACTCGGCATACTTTTCTCCACAAAGTGGTAGCAAGATTCTTACAACTTCACAGGACAACCGACTTCATGTTTGGGATTCAATATATGGTAATCTAGATACTCCAAGCAGGGAAATCGTTCACAGTCATGACTTCAATCGACATCTTACTGCTTTCCGAGCAGAGTGGGACCCAAAAGTAAGCCACCCATTACTTAAAACGGCGCAAATGATGTGGCTGATTCTGATGAAGTTAGTGAAACTGCCGAATTAGCAGATTGAAGTAATTTAAAAATAATTATTTAATTAACTTAACGAACATATTTCTTGAAATAAAGATAGAAGCATCAATTTCATCCGTTTCAGCTGAAAGCAACTCATTTACCACTTTCTTTATCAGTTGGTTCAACCAGCCAACAGTGACATACGTTAGTGTTTGGCGAAAAAAACTGGCCAATGTGACTATTAAACTGATCATGCTTTTGTACCATATGCAGGATCCTTCAGAGTCCTTAATTGTCATTGGCCGTTACATAAGTGAGAATTTCAATGGCACTGCCTTGCACCCCATTGATTTTATAGACATCACCACAGGCCAGTTGGTTGCCGAAGTGATGGATCCAAACATAACAACAATCAGTCCTGTGAATAAGTTGCATCCACGCGATGATGTTATGGCATCCGGTAGTTCAAGGTCTGAGTAAAAACCGGTTTTCGTTAACAGTTCTTGCACGCGAATGGTAACTTTGGTGGTCTTGAAATGATTCTTCTTCTTCTTTTTTAATCAGGTCACTTTTCATTTGGAGCCCAGCAGGGGATTCCGAGGAAAAAGATGAAGAGAAGATCATAGATTGTTGGTCGGAGGAGAAAAGGACTTCGGCTATGGGGCGTGCTGATAAAATGGGGAAGACATTTCGTGGTGCCGACAGCGACGAGGAAGAAACTAATGGCAGTGGTAAGAGGAACATCAAGAAGAAGAAGAACCCTTCTTTGAAATCAAAGTCTTTTAGTACTTATAGGAAGAAGTGATAATTAATCTTTAATGTAGCTCTTTTGTATAGTGTAATGGCCTTTTAACCCCAATATTTTTGTCTAGAACTGGGTTTGGGGAGGGGGTGAAATATTGTCCTCTGTGGCCTATTTATTTACTAAATGGCTGGCTATTAAGGGATCTTGTTTCTACAATGAGAATATTCATATTTTACTTTGTACTACTTAACATTGCTAAAGAATACGAAATTATGTGCTTAACTTGGAATCTTATTAAAAACATAAATGTGGTTGAAATTATGTTTTGGGATGAAAGTAATATTTGATAAGGGGAGACAAGGGTTCTTGTTTTGTTCAACACTTGTGGAGGAGGGTTGAAAAGATGAGATCTTTCATTTGGCTTTTATTTTTAGCTTATGAATTAAAAATTATTAATCCCATTTTCTTATCTTAGGTAAAATTTTACTTTTTGATACGCGTTATATTACTTTTTAACTATTTTTTTTTAAAAATAAATTTAACTATAACGCTTTAATTAAGTACAATAACCCTTAAAAAAGTACAATTATAGCACTAAAAAATTAAGTAAAATAATATCCCCTCCCTCTATCATTAGAATAAGTTTCTTTTTCACGGAATAAAAAGGAATCAAATTGTGTTTACTTGTAGAAGTTTATTCCAAGTATAAAATCACAACATTATTATTTGTATGAAAAGATCAATAGCTTTTAAAATCTACTTTATGTTTACGATGCACCTATAAATGCGTATGATAAGGAAATGTTTATTACTCCGTACTAAAATGAACATTTTTTTTTGCTTCAAAAAAAAAGAATATTTTTTAAATAAAAAAATAAAAATCTTATGAGAAGGGCCACAATTTTTTTTGGACTTTAATTCACGGCAAATTCTTCCATAGTTCTAAGGTTCAAACTCATTTTATAAATATTTTGGATGAATTGGACTCTTTGAAAAAATAAAATTTTTTATGTCGGCCCATGAAAAAATGTGATAAGATTCATATTTCATACTCCCTCCGTCCACAAATAAAGTTCTCATTGCGCGTTACAATGTTTGACTGAAATTATTTTCAAATCATTTTATATGAAAAATGATATGGAATTAGAAAATAAAAATTACATATTTATTAACTACATGAAAAGATCTACAAAACTAGAGATGACATGACTATATTATTTTATCAAATAAGACACAAAAATAGGCCAATAAAGTGAATAAAGTTTGATCCTATGAATAGTGAATGAGAACTTTATTGTTGGACGGAGGGAGTATATAAATCTTAAGATCATGAAATTGATGGAATTCTCTAGATTCATCAATGAAACACTCGTAAAGATAAACTTTAACATTAATGGAGCTTACTAGCTTAGTTCCTATTTGACTACAAAGTGTTTTTTTTATAGAAAATCAATTTTCAAAAGCATTCTCGTAATTTTTATTACTAATATCTTTTCATTTATCATTAACTTTCATCATGAAAAGATATTACGGAGTGTATACAAAATTATGTTTCTTTTCTAAAAATTGATTTTTTTTAAAAAAAATATAGTCATTGTGATGTGATATAGCTGGAAAAAAAGCAATTTTGTTGAGCAAGAGAAGACAAAACTAAACAAAAAAATGAAATTTAACTTGAAATATTTAACTAATCGGTTAAAAACATAAGAATAATATTTTTAAACTAAAAAGAAAAACTCATATAAATATAAAAAGGAGTAACATTTTTGAAAAAATAAAAACTTAAGGAGCAATTTTTAAACTTTTACTCCTTATCTGTTTTACCGGTTAAAAGGATATGAGTAACACTTTTGACACTTAATAAAAGTTCAACACGCTTGTTTGGGAATAACACTTTTGATTAGCATTAACATTTTGGGAATAACGCTAAACACTGCCTGTACATAGTGTTTTTAAAACGCTAACGCTAACCTCCATTGCTATCTCCAAACATACCCAATGACACTTTAGAAACGAAAAACACTTTCTCTGCCCCATAAAATTTTTCATAGACAAAAAAGACATGCTCTAAAAATGTACTCCATAGTTTTTCATTTTTGTAAAAAAATATGAGAGGGAGTAGGTAACATCTTGTAAAAAAAAAGAAACTAGTCCTTATTTTTCATTAGCATTAGTATTTTTAGAATTAATCTAAACCATCAAAATTTTATTCAAGACTATTATTCGGCATTTTAATTCCTGCATTGTGAACCTAGTTTAATCGGAGTTAATAAAAGGGAAAAGAATCCACCAGTATAAGATANCCCCCCGTCAACAACCGTCAATCCGCCTCCCTCAATGCGACAAATAGTAACCGTAATTATTCAAACGCCCTCTTCCCTCCGCCGCAACTCCCCCGGCGCCTCCTACGCCGTCACCACCGACACCCATCTGCCCCATCCTGGTTTGCCGGGAAAAAATCCTCACCTGCCCGTAAAATTGGCGCAATAATCATACAAAATAACAATCCGCGCCGATCAGTTGTTGTATTTCCCGGATAATTGCGCGAATCTGCGATCAGCTCTTCTTTTAAACAACGTATGAATTAAACTTTTAGGGATTTTATCTTCATCATGCAGTCGATGTAAAAGGAAGAAATCGATCGGGGTTAGTGTAAGGATTGGGATAAGAATGAAGCATCAGAATAAGAAGAAGAAGAGATCAAAGGCGTCGAAAACCGGCCGGGCCGGAAAGGCGGCTCCTTCTTCTTCAGAGGGAGATGTGAAACAGGGGGAAAAGGCTGTAGGTTCGTTATTGGAAGCTTCTAGTTCTGTTTCAGCGGATGGGGAACCGAAGGAGGACGGCGAGGTCATTGTGAACCTGGATGAGATTTTGGAGGATCGGAGCACAACCTCGTCCTCGTGTTTTAGCTCTTCGGAGACGTGTATGGAGGATCATTGTCTTCAAAATGGGGCTAGACAGAAGTGTAAGATGAAAAAGGATATAGCTTCTGCAGGGACTATTTCGACCTTGCTGGGAAAAGACTATGTGATGTCTGTTCCTAAGAAGATTTCATCCAGAATGAAGGGTTCTAATGGTGATTTTTTTAGTAAGGAAGATGCTGAACAATTCCTGTGCTCAATGTTTGGTGAACACTGTGATTTGAGCTTCTCTGCTCTCAGAGACGTATTATGTGAGTTTCAAATTCTCTAGCTTTCATTTGGAACTATGAATTTATGCCAAAAAAAACCACAGTGACAATTTGTATGACTTCTTAAGCAAAAGAACTTGGCTACTTGTAAACGCATGGCAATCGATATAATTTGGGTATTCTCGTTGCAAGGATAATATCATGAGCATTGCTTAGTTAAGATGGTCATAGGTATAATATTGGTGTCACGTTGATTTTGTAAAAGCGACATACATATTTTTGAACATGACTGTATTGATATGATTATATGAACTTCAGTTGATTGAATGAATGCGATTTGTGACTTTGATTTCTTTTCAATTTTTGACAGGTAAGTGTGGATATGATGTAAATAAGGTCTGGTTTCTATTTGAATTTCACAGTTTTCACTCAAGCTTTCTGTAATTTTTTTCCCATTTGTTGGATTGTCAAGTAATGACAAAAATCAATGGCTAGAATGCTAGATACTATTGCCTTGGGTTTTCCCTGCATTGCTGTTTTTACATAATTAATTCTATATGATTTCTGGATTTTGATTCCCACTTTTCGTAATGTCATTGCATAATCTTATTTCAAAGATTTACTAAGTATGAAGTATTTGTATTTCTTGTCTTTTTGATCCTTGTCCGACCCTGTTTGCACACTCAACTTTTTTGAACATTAATTTTATGGGTGTGTATTGTTCTAAAGTTAGTCTTAGAATGGTTACATTACTTTCCAGGCTCTAAATGTATTGCTTCAATTATCAGCATCCTCATGCGATCAATCGGAAAAGAGTAGCTGCAGCATAGAGGCACAAGCACCATTGCTTAGCAAAACAAGTGAAAATGTAAGTTAAGTTTTGATCTCGTGTTCCTCATTGATTTCTTTGGTAAGCATAGTGACTCTTGCTTTATTCTGGCTTCAGGTAATTTGTTCGTTAGATCTTTGCTGCAACTTCATCTTTTCTGAATAATTGATTTCACTTTGTCATTTGTTGGATCAAGTCCATAAACAATCCCTTGTGAATAGAGATAGTACATAATCATATTGCCTCATGTTACTCTTGCAGCTCACTGAAAACGCTTGCGGTACTGCTTCTCCTTCATCTGAAGGAGAATTTCAGGACCTCATACCAAATACAATGAACTCTTGCTGGTAAGAACTGTAATATTTCACCGTGCTACTTTATTTGCCTAAACTCATCATGCCAGTAAAGTAAAAAAATATTGTTATAAGCTTTAAGCAAATTCTCTTACATTATTTCAGGAATAAGTTTAAATTTAGTCCTGATACTAATTGGAGTTCTTCACCAACACCAAAAAAATTGGATTCACAACTCACAAAGGAAGTTTTAAAATCGTTGTTTAATATGCCTACCCCCAAGAATGCTGAACGTGAACCAAATACACTGAACTGGAAGAATGTAGTAACTAAAATGGCATCGTTCAGACCAAAACACGAGCCCTTCCCTGCCAAGATTGTAACAGATCATTATGACCATGGTACTTGTCAATTTGCCGCTCTAAGTATTTTTATGATTTCCTTATATGTGCAAAACATATTGGTTTATTGGCATCTATTTACCAAATGATGTCCCTGTGACACATTTTTTGAGTCTATTTAAAAGTTTAAGTGCTATGTGTTATGCTTGTGTCCTATTGTAGCTAAGGGAGATGACTACCAGGTGTTCAGAGAAGCTTCAAAGCAGCATTGGGAATCTATGAAGCAATGCTATCAGAAGGTATTCTATATATTGTTTGGCTTTTAGACGACAAACTCATACACAATTTTTCTGAAAATATGCACATTCTGCTGCAGGCTGCCTCAGCTTCTACCAATGGCAAACATCAATATGCTGCTTATCTCTTCGAGCAGGTATGTTGTATGATGTTGAGATCGGATCTTGCAAGTTTCTGTGCAGTTTTTTTTCTTTCAATTCAGTATTAACCTTTAATACACATTTTAGAATATCCTGCAGTATTGATTAAGATGAACTTTTACTTATTCATGGAAACTAGCCGGTTAAAATAGGTAACACCTTTCATATATTGCAATGTTTGATCAGGTCTAATGTAAACCCTAACCTAATTTATGGGTTTCAATCGAAATCTGCTAAATGGAGGATCTCACACACACACACACATACAGGTTAGGATGATATTTGTTTAGAGTTGCACATCTAATTCATAGAGAGAGAGAGAGAGAGAGAGATGCAGAGTGAGTTTATAAGGTTTGTGGTAAAACTATTGAATCGATTTTATTTTAAAATTTTAGTATGGTTTGACCCATATGCATTATGGTGCAGTTAAGTGACTCTAAGTCTCTAACCCAATCTTGAATTCTTTCGTTATCCTTCGTGTCATCAGCATTCCTTTGTAACCTCAAGTGACTAGTCGGGATCACATTTGAAATTTTGAACAATTGGGGAGTCCAACTTTGTATTATTTGGGGTTATCAGTGCACATGTTATTTGCATGTGTCGTTTTACTTTATTTTGACCAACATATTCCCTTGCTTGGAACGTGTCACAGGGTAGCACGCACAATACAAAGGCCCAGGAAGCTGACAAACAAGCCAGCCTAGATGTTTTTGAAGCCAGGTGGACAATTATCATTCGAAATAAAATGGATAATAATCGATGGTTCTTGCTCTTCAAATGCAGTACTATCTGGTTTTCCTATTGAATTAGCTATATTTTTATCGCAGAAATAAGAGCATAGAAAACATGATCACTATTGACCTGCATGGGCAGCATGTCAGACAAGCCATGGAATATTTGAAACTTCACCTGCTGTTTGGGGCCTACGTACGCTGTAAGCATCCTATACACTCCTCCGTCCATATTTAGTTGTGTGCTTTCTAAAATACCTCAATTTTAAGGAATATGGTTATAAGTAACAAAAGACATCATTGAAGCTAGGTTGTCCTTTGCTCAGGCCACAATGCCAATATGCTCTTTAGGGGTGTTTTTGATTATTCACAGTTATTTCTCTACTAAACTTGGTAAGTTGACAATTAATTCGGACGTCTAAAAAAGAAAAGTGTACAACCCAATTCGGACAAACAGAGTAATAAATAGAGAGTATAATTGCTTTGGAGTTTGTTGTAAACATATTCCTTATTTTCGTTATCTGCAGCTGTTAGATCATTTAGGGTTATCACGGGATGTGGGAGCCGTGGTGTTGGGAAGTCTAAACTGAAAAACTCCGTACGAAACACCTCTCCTTTTCTCTTTACTAATAATCCCACCATATCTTAGCTGTGAATTTTTTTATAGTTCAATCTTATTTGTTGCACGCAGGTAATTAATCTATTGGAAAAAGAAGGTATTGAATGGGGCGAGGAAAACCGGGGAGCACTGTTCGTCAAACTTCATGGTGAAACAAACTTCAGCTTCATAGATTCTGACAGCGATACCGACTGATTATTGTCAATCTTTTCAATGGGTAGAGCATCGACAGGACGGTTGAGGTGTTGTGGGATCTTGAGGTCACGGGTTCGAATCCTCGAAGCAGCTTTTTGCAAAAAAACCAAGGTAAGAGGTACTTTGTGTATAGAGGAGTTTTTAATTTATTAGTTCCTCACTCATGTATTATTGTTAATAGCAGGTTTAATTTAACCAAATCAACAAATAGCAACTCTAGGTAGGTAACTAAGCTAAGAGTTAAGATGGTTGAGTTTATTGTATCATTTGTATCTATCCGACTTGTTCGTGGTAATATTTTGGCATCACGGACGGTTTTTTGTGGTTGAAATTTACTGAATTTAAAGTTAGTTGTATGTTTTTATTATAAAAAAAAATATTTGTGTTTATAATTGAAAAGGTTTAAGCTTAAAAAGTTGTGTTGGCCAATGGCCATATATTCCTACAGTTTTCTTTTTGGAACATCCAAATAATTGAAAAGGGTAGAAATGGAGAATTATTTAATGCATTCAAATAAAAAAGGCTTCTTTTTTCCGATAGAGTTGTATCTTTTTTAAATTTGAGTAAATTTCATAATTAGTCATTTATAACAGGGGGTTTTCAGATTTAGTACTCTATAATCAAATATTATCATCGTAGTCCTTTTTTTTAAGGGTGCCTTTCTACAAATAGTCTTTTTTTTATTTTTTGCCATGTTGGTATTAATTTAAAGGCTAAAAGTATAATTTGACATCAACATTATGTTTAGTGACGTGTTTTGATATTGGTTAAGCGGATAACACAAATATAATGACTATAATTGTGGGCTAGGATTTCCGACGAAAGACAACATTTGTAGACTATAGTTGTAATAAAAAACGACTGTATTTCACAAACGACGTAAACGGAACAGCTTTTGGAATTATGTATGATAAAAAAGATATATATTATTATTATGAAATTATACTTTTAGCTCTTAAATTAACACAAACATGATAGAAGATCAAAAAAACTATTTGTGGAAAAATATCCACAAAAGAAGGACCACTGGGTAATATTTGATAATAGAGGACTAAATAAGAAAACTCTCATGTTATAAATGACCAATTATAGAATTACTCTTTAAATTTTTAACTTTGGCTGTCAATTTTTATTAATGGACCACAAATTAAGAAAAACATATATATTTTATTATGATATAAATTTAATATCAAAAAATAAATTCTAAAAAGTATTTAACTTTTTACAATCAATCATATTCAATTTTTGATATATAATTGAATAAAATATACTCCCTCCGTCCCAAAGTATTTGTCCACTTTCATTTTTACACACCATCCAATGCACTTTTTTAATCCATTTTATCTTGTAATTTGTATATTAAAAATTTATAGAAATTATATATTAATAATCTATATGTTAAGACAAATCAATCAAGATCACACATGACTATATTTAGGCTTACACATTGAGAAAATTTGATGAGTCAAAGTGCTTAAATGAATAGTTCCAAAAGTCAAAAGTGGACAAAAATTGGGGGACGAAGGGAGTATATAATATATTAATGTGATAAAATAATATCTTGAAAATATTTTATAAAATAAATCTAATAAAATTATTTTTGTATCAATATCTTGCATCACATTTATTTAATCTGTTGTGAAGTTTATTTTAGTTTTTACTGAAAAAAGCCAAATTAGATAAATACTTAAGAATGGAGAGCATAATTTTGAAATATCATGTATTTATATGGACTAATGGGTGGGGTGGGGTGAATAAGGGATAGAGCTAGGGCTGGGTTGGAAAAACCGAAAACCGAAAACCGAACCGAAATCGATCGAAAGGAGCTAGTAAAAAAACCGAACCGAAAAAACCGAAACCGAATGTAAAAAAACCGAACCGAACCGTTAGTATTTGGTTCCGTTTTGGTTTTCACTTTGAAAAACGAACCGAACCGAATAAACCGAACTTTTTTAGATACTTCACTTTATTTATATGAATATATGTGATATGTAGAAAAATCATAGAAATATAAATGCAAATAAATTACTAGTCGATTTAAATTATTTTCTTATCTATTAATTAAATATTCTAGCCATATTATAATAAACTTTAAAAAACTTAAGAATATATATGAACACCAATAGTAATCCTAATATAGAATCATATTAAGATTAAAAATTGATACACGTAATTTACATATTTACATAAAAAATACTTTGATGTTATAATGAAATTGAAAGTATTATACAAAAATATAAATTCTTCATAATTGATTTTACATACGATGTCTTTGGAAGTATTTAGAATCTTCTAAATGTTTGTTGGCACTCCACACATCTTTTTTATGTAAAATTAAACTAAAAGGAGCAATAACCTTCTGTTTGGTTTTTTGTTTTTGTGTAAAAATCAAACAAAAAAACCAAAGCTAACACTACATATTTTTATTGTTTCATCGAGTTAGTGTTTTATAATTTTTTAATGCTTATGAATTTCTACTTTTATAAACCGAAAAAAATTGAAATAAAAACCGTAAAAAACCGAACCGAATAACCAACGGTTTTCATATTTTTTATGCAAAACCGAACCGAACCAAACCGCCAATTTACCTTCCGTTTTGTCTTTGGTTTTGGGTAAAAAACCGAACCGCCAAAACCGAACCCACCCCTAGATAGAGCAGAGCCTAGGTATCACTTGGTGTCTACGAAGTACGAAATATTATAGGTACTCCATAGTCTGTACTCTTAAAGCTTATTCATTTCAAACATGAGTGGCTCAAAAAGTGTGCAAAGTAGTCAATCGTACATGGCCCCTAAAATTTTAGGACCCCGTATTTTTAAACTATTAATAATTTTAAAGCAAAAGTATGCTAAAAAATAAAATATGGCCCAAAATATAAATTTTGGACAGGACCAATTTTGTTTTTTCATTTTTCGGGGCCGATCCTAGATTCAACTTATTCTTATTGGAATCAATTCAGGTCAGATCAGAAACAATTTTAAATATAATCACATTCAGATAAGATTAGATCAGATCAAACTAAATCAGAATTCATTTCAATCAGATCAAAATCATTCAGATGAATCTTATACCAAAGACGACTCTATGAAAAAATAATATTTCTACCAAAATAAGGCTCTCAATCTTTGTAGACAAAGTATGGCATACAAATATACAATGCCAAAGAGTATCAATATACTACCTCCGTCCCATTGTCTTTGTCCAAATTTGACTTTTGAAACTATTCATCTAAGCACTTTGACTCACCAAATTCTCTTAATGTGTAAGCCTAAAAATAGTCATGTGTGATCTTGTTTGATTCGTCTTAACATATAGATTATTAATATATAATTTTTATAATTTTTTAATATACAAATTACAAGATAAAATGGATTAAAGAAGTGCATTGGATAGTGTGTCAAAAGGTAAGTGGACAAACACAGTGGGACGGAGAAAGTATATTTTACTAAAAATACTGTGAAATGTCAACACATATAATGTCAAGTTACGACATTGCATAGCAAATCTATTTAGAATATCGGCCTGGTTCTATTGACACCGGAGAACGGTGCCACTGCGTTTTTGGGGCACATCCGGTGACCTCCGGTACTCCGTTCGTAAAATTAATGGTTCTTACTCCCATAACTCATCCCCTAAACCCCACCCCACCCTACCCCACCCCTGCCCATATTTTACAATCATTTCAACTTTTTTTCATTTTGTTTTGACATTCAACTTTGTTTTTTTTACAAGGGAGTGTTTTTGGTTTGGTAGGAGTCGACGTTGAATGTGACGTTATTATTGGATACGCCCTCCCCAATCATCATCCTCCATTCATTCGTTCGTTCTTTTCCTCCCGTATTATCTCATCTGCCGCCGCCGGAAGACAATACCATGTCCGGAAGCGGCGTCGTAACGGTCTATGGAAACGGAGCCATCGCCGAGGCGCCCACCAAGCAGTCCCCCTTCTCCGTCAAGGTGGGCCTTGCCCAGATGCTCCGCGGCGGCGTTATCATGGACGTCGTCACGCCCGAGCAGGCCCGCATCGCCGAGGAAGCCGGCGCTTGCGCCGTCATGGCCCTCGAACGCGTCCCCGCCGACATCCGCGCCCAGGGCGGCGTGGCCCGCATGTCCGACCCCCAGATGATCAAGGAAATCAAGCAGGCCGTCACGATTCCGGTCATGGCCAAGGCCCGGATCGGGCATTTCGTCGAGGCCCAGATCCTGGAAGCCCTCGGGATCGATTACGTCGACGAGTCGGAGGTCCTCACCCCGGCCGACGACGCGAACCACATCAACAAGCACAATTTCAAAATCCCCTTCGTCTGCGGCTGCCGGAACCTCGGCGAAGCCCTGAGGCGCATCCGCGAGGGCGCCGCGATGATCCGGACAAAGGGCGAGGCCGGGACCGGGAACGTCATCGAGGCGGTCCGCCACGTGCGCTCCGTCATGGGCGACATCAGACTCCTCCGGAACATGGACGACGACGAGGTCTTCGCCTTCGCGAAGCAGATCCAGGCGCCCTACGACCTCGTGATGCAGACCAAGCAACTGGGCAGGCTCCCGGTGGTCCAATTCGCCGCCGGAGGGGTGGCAACGCCGGCGGACGCGGCCCTGATGATGCAGCTGGGATGCGACGGCGTGTTCGTGGGGTCCGGGATATTCAAGAGCGGGGATCCGGCGAGGAGGGCCCGCGCAATCGTGCAGGCAGTGACCCACTACAGCGACCCGGAAGCGCTGGCGGAGGTGAGCTGCGGGCTGGGAGAGCCCATGGTCGGGATCAATCTCAACGATCCCAAGGTCGAGAGGTACGCCAATCGTTCCCAATAATACCCAAAAAAAAACTTTTGATGTTTCAGAAGATTGATGGTTTCATTAGACTGGTTTCATATGAATCTCTGACTCACTCACTCTGGTTTTAGCTTACAAATGGTCTGTGATTGATTGTTTTTTATTAGAAGACAACTATTAGTGGCTTTGGTTTTTTGCATTTTTTTGATTGTGAAGGTGGCTAGAATCAAGTCCAACAACAACAAATTAAACCTAGATATTTGGACAAGGGATATTTGAGATCCAAAAATTAACAAAAACACTCCATAAGTTTTTAGGCTCCGTTCCAAAATGTTCTACCCAGTTACTATTCACAGTCAAACTGTAATCACTTTCTTTGTCTATTTTCGTTAGTTATATGAAGAAATAATTGTTTTGTAGAACTTTTGATGCAGTTTTAAATATGTAAATTTATTTTTTGATTTTACACTTACAATCAAATAGACAATATAAATGTAATGAGCTCATTTTTTTGTATTATATATCATACAATACAATTTTTATTTAATTGATGATGAAAATTTGTCCAAATTGATTTTAAAAAGTCTAACTCGACAAAATAATCTGGGTAGAAAAGGTATTTCATACCATGCCTTTTTATTTTAAAAAAACTGTCTGCTTAGGGCTAACATTATAGAAACTTCATGATGGAAACACTGTTGTGAAAATTCCACATGCAAAAAACACTCACACCGGAATTCAAATTTTGAACTGTACGGACAAACCAGTCTTTTTGCGTTCCAAGTGTGGTATAAAATTTAACTATTTGCAATTAAAATATAATCAAATTAAGAATATGGGAATTGTGTCCCAGTTATGTATGTAAAACACATCTTAATCATACTTAATGTGTACACTAATAACAATTTGAATAATCTTCCAAAAACAACACTTTTCTAAGTTGAATTACACCCAAGAAAAGTGAACATGAAGTTGATCAACCAGTTCCCCTACCAATTCATCAACAATTTCCATCTCCAAATCCCCACAGATTTCATGTCTCCCTTCACCCACTGTCCAGCTGCTGTGAGCTGTGTCCATATCACCCAGCCTGCAGCTCTCTTCCCACACCTTCTTCACATAACTCTCATCCTTGCACGAATTCTTCTTCCTCGTCTCAGAAAACCTCATCTCTTTAAGCCTCTCGGGTCGTAAGTCGTCGCTCTCTGTTTTCGGTTTCTTGTGATTCTCAAGCTCTCCCGACAGGGTCCGCCTCGATTTTGTGTACCTTCCTGCTTTAAAAAAACAAAAGTTCAAGCTTATAGTTGAAGGTTTGCGGAATGTTTTAGGTATTTTTGTATTTATGTAACGGTTTTCGACGAACCTGAGGAGAGAGGAGGAGGAGGAGGAGTCTGTTGTAGAGCTGTTAACTCGACGAAGTCAAGAACAGAATTGGGGCTCGATTTCTCTGAATCACACTCTGTTTTGGCCTTTTCTTTTCTTTCTTTCATCTTCTTCTTGAATAATAATCTTTCTTGCTTGAAATCCTCTTTCTTCTTTGCCTTTCTTGAACGGGCGGCCTTCTCCGCTTCACGAACCGCTTTGGTGTTTTGGTATAGGCTTTCTCTTCTCATGCTGGAGTTCTTGTTTAATGATATCTCTGATTTCCTCTGTTCAAAACCTGCAAATTCTGGGCATTTCCCTCTTCTTCCTCCTACATACTCAAAGCTGAGAATGAAGAAATCCTTGTCTTCTAGCTCCATGTAGGTGGGAATCTCCCGAAAGCTACCAGCTCGCAGAGGCCTCTCGGTGCGTGGTGTAGTTCGTCGTCGAAGCAGGTGGGAATCCAATGAGTGGCTCCTGGTGAGTGATTTTGAACTGATATCAATTCTGGGCTGCAGCGGCATTGACTCCAGCCCCATTAGCTTGGCCACGACGCCGGTTTTCCCCCCCTCTTCCGGGGGCGGTGGCATTTGAGTTGCGTGGTTGGGGGAGGAAGAAGGGGGGCGCTTGGAGAGGGAATCAGAACAGAGCAGGCGGCGGAACATTCCGGCAATGCAGCAGCCCGTGGCGGGTTTCTTGGCATTGCCGCCGGGTGATGCGGAAGAGGAAGACGAAGAAGAAGAGGAAGAAGGGTGTTTCATGGTTGAGACATGTGATAATGCAGGCTGGTTGAGGGTTAAGAGGAGGAAGAGGAGGGTGAAGCAGAATGATTAGTGGGGGGGAAAAGTGAAAAGTGAGAAAGAAGAAGGAAAGAGAAAGTGGAGGGAGGGATTTCATTTGAATTTGAGAGAGGGAGAGAGAGAGGTGCCAGGTGGCGGTGGTGAGTGGAGTTTGAAAGCCCGCATGCTGCTTTGCCGGTTGGGGCTCACTGGTGGCGGTGATGTGGCGCTCTCGTGGCACGGGGATCCTCCCGGTTAGACCGGTACATTAATACGTTGTTGATTTTTTATCAAAATTCTAGATTTGTATCTTTCCAATTCGAGAGATATAAAAACGTCCTTTTGGAAGGGTTGTGATGTCGAAATATTTAAAACCTAAATCATGTTTAGGCTTCAAAAGTCCAGTTAATGATTTTGATATCGAGATATATCATACTACCTCCGTCCCACTCTTTTTGTCCAGTTTTGATTTTTGAAACTGTTCATATAAGCAATTTGACTCATCAAATTCTCTCAATGTGTAAGTCTAAAAATAGTCATGTGTGATCTTGTTTGATTTGTCTTAACATATAGATTATTAATATATAATTTTTATAATTTTTTAATATACAAATTACAAGATAAAATGGATTAAAGAAGTGCATTGGATGGTGTGCAAAAATGAAAGTGGACAAAAAGAGTGGGACAGAGGGAGTAATTCATTTCTCCACTCAGGGGGGCATGGAATGGAATATTGTTTGAATGTTAAGATATTGTTGTAAAAGGGAGAACAAAAGAGGATTAAAAGATAGAACCCACTAATTTTTTTAAATGACTCACTATGTGAGTCTAAATTGGACTAGTGCCATAATATGACACTCAAAGTGAGTGTCATTTTAATCGAGCCGTAGTCTGATATGGAGTATATTGGAAATGCATTTTAGATGATTTGATCGGTATTTTACATGATATTCCGTATGATTTAGTTGTACTCTTTCCGTAAAAGGAACACATTTTTTGAATTTCTTGATCGAGTTTTACAAAGTTTGAAAAAAATATATATACTCAGTATTAAATTATAATGTAAATGATTGATCATTGATTAAAGAGAAAGTGAACTCTATATTGCAGACATACTCGATATTTGCAGAGATATATGCTTAGCATGGTTGTTTCTCAATGTAGTTGTCAGAAATCAAACTCTACTTTTACCTTTAATGCTTTTTGTCGTTACCCACTATGCAACACTCACTGACACACAATATTGTTTATATAGAGAATAATGGTGGGTATCTGAATGCAAATAATAACGGATAACTTATGGGCCGAGCCAAAGGCTAGGTAGCCCTGTAATCTCATTTCTAAAATCTGTTGTCCTTTGTCCTATGGGTAGAGTAGTATAACTTATTTTATCCGCGTAGTTCAAGTGGTTTAAGAAAAAGATGTCAAGCCTCTTAATTCTAGAATTGAATTTCGGAAGCATGAGTGTGGAGTTCTATTATTCGTAATAGTTTCTTGTGCGCATCCGATACGTAGCGGCTTCTCGAACAATCATATTGAGATTATACCATGATTTACCCCCCTCGCAAGCTTGTCGGGTCGGGGTGTAGGGGCACCCGGGTTAGATGTTCCACCTTTATATAACTTATTCCCTCCGTTCCAGTATATTTTTTCAGTTTGGCTTTTTTAGAGTCAAACAAAATGAACTTTGAGCTTCAATTAAATAAAAATTGTAATGTGCATTATTAAAAAATTATTTTATAAGATTTACATTTTTGTGAACTATTCAAATTTTATTTCATTGTACTAATATGTGATACAAGTTGAAAGTAATTATATCTCAAAATTATCCAGTTTGACTCGAAAAAGTCAAACATGACAAAAAGACAAAAACAAAGGTAGTAATATAATTGGATTCATGTTAACATAAGGTTTTGATATATCATGTTTTATATTCTCCCCGTCCTAAAAAGATTCTCTATTTGACTTTATACAAAATTTAAAGAAAGTAAAAATATATAGTTGAAAGTGATGCAAAAAGAGAGAAAGATTGTTGGTCATTCAAAATTTTCCACAAAAGAAAAGTAAGAGGTTTTTTGCGACCTTGAAAATAAGGAAATAAAGATTCTACTTTGGAACGAAAGAAGTAACATTTATTTATTTAAAATTATATTTATTAATGTTCAAATTATATAGCTATTTAACCCAAAAAAATCTAGCGGGAAAGATTTTTTTAGCAATAGAGAGAGAATGAGTATATTTTTAGAGCACTGGAAATACGTTTGAAGCCCCGGGGCTTCAAACTGGGGCTTCAAACTTTCTCTCTCTGTCACGTCAGCTTTAACTTACACCCAAAATTCACTGGAAAAGGGTTTGAAGCCCCGGGGCTTCAAACTGGGGCTTCAAACCTTCATTTTTTACATTTTTAAATATATATCTTCAAAAATTAAATTAATAACAACAACAACAACCCAGTTGAATCCCGCTACAGTAGGGTCTGGGGAGGGTGTGTGTACGCAGACCTTGCCCCTACTCGGAAGTAGGGAGGCTGTTTCCAAGAGACCCCCGGCTCCACCTGCACAAAAATATAGAAGAGAACACAGTATAGCACAGATAAGGCACCAAGTACAAGCAACAAGTACAAACAATAGCAAAAGATTCCCAACAAATACAACACACTACAAAACAACCTCTACAACACCGAGCTCCTATCCAGCTACTCTAATCCTAGTTCTCCAAAGGTTCCTATATAGGGTCATATCCTCAGTCAGGTCGAGAAGTCCTAAATCATGTCTTATCACCTCCTCCCAATTCTTCTTAGGTCTACCCCTTCCCCTACTTCCCCCGATAACTGTAATCCTCTCGCATCTCCGTACAGGGGCGTCAGCATCCCGCCATCTCACATGGCCAAGCCACCTCAACCTCGCTTCCCGCAACTTGTCTTCCACCGGTGCCATACCTACTTGACGTCGGATAACCTCATTCGAAATCCTATCCAACCTTGTCTTCCCGCACATCCTATCCACCGGTGCCATATAATTATTTAATTATATTGAAACACGAATAATAAAAAAATACATTCATTAAATAAAAAAAAGTGACAATAATAAAAAAAGATACATTAATAAAAAACTAAGGTAAATTATATTTCGTCTTGATCTCTCTTATTCTTTGCTCGTAGATCATTCGTCTGAAACCTGACAACGTAGAAAGGTCGGTTTCCATGACTTTCATCTCGTCCTCCTACTCCTTTAGCTTCAACACCTTCTCCTTTAGCTTCAACCTCTCTTCTTCCCGGAGATTGAACAACCGAAGTTGTTCAACCATTGTCCGGCTGATTTCGTCGCGAGAAGAAACGCAAACAGAGCCGGATCCTCCCGAACCCGAGGCAATGGATTTTGCCTTCTTTCTTCCGCAACGTTGAAGGGAGGGATTTGATCGGACGAACCGATAGTCACGTCGACCTCAACCTCGGCGTCGACGGAGGATCTTTTCCGGAACGATCCGCCGTCGGGATTGTTGAGTTGTTGCCACTTCGGGGAACAACTCAAAATCCTCCAAAGATCGATGGGCACCTTGTCTTGGTGCCCGTCATCTTGATACCGGGCCGTGGCAAGCCGGAGAACATCGGAAGACGTCAACCCAAGCCGACGCCAATAAGCACTCCTCCTCCGGCGTCCACTTTTGGATTGACCGTGTCGCCTCGGTCGTCGTGCCTTTTGCTTTGTGGCTTTTCCGGCGTGTAGGTTTTTTCGACCCAGTCAGTTCCAGTTGAGTCTCCGGAACCGAATCTCGCTCGACGTACCCCGATTGTTGCGTCTCGTAGATCAACGGTTGATCACCCAACTCTTGGTAATACCACATCGAGGCGTCGCTTGGCGCGAGATTGTCGGTAAAGAAGCCGGAGCCGGAAGGATTCATGTTGAAAAGAGAGAGGGTGATTTCGAAATTTAAAAATGTGGGAAGAAGAAGATCGAAGAAGAGTGAAGAAGGTGTGAGAGATTGGGAGGGGGGGTTTGAATTTATAACAAAAAAAAATTTCTTTCGTTTTTTTTGTCTTCAACGGCTATTATAGCCGTTAAGGGGGGAGGGGGAAGGCGAATGACCAGCGTCATTCGTTTGACGCAGCCCCGATCATGCCCCGTTAACGCAGCCGGGGGACGGTGTTTAACGCCCCGGGACGGTGTTTAACGCTCCGGGGCATTAAACGCACCCTAACGCCGATGCCTTAGTACTCCATTAGTTCCGGAATCACCTTTCCACTTTTTTATCTACAAAATTTCTTCCCGTTTTGTTTTTTTGACAAAAAACACCCAAAAATATCTCTTTTACCCCAAGTCTATATATATACCAAAAAACTTCAGGTTCTAAATAGAAATACATACCGTACTTTGTATAAATCATATGGCCCATATATCATTTTTCCTCACAATTCTTGCATAAAGGAAAAACACTAAAATAAAAGTAAAACATTGAAAATATATTTAAATAAGAATTTCATGTTTTTATTCTTGAAATAGGATTTAAAATACATATACAGTGTCAATCATGACTATATATATTGCCAAAAAATATTGTAAAATGCCTATTACAATGTTACATTATCACAGTGCAAACTCCTATTTTAGTATTTTCTCTATATTTTAATTCTATTTAGAATGATTTCTTTTTACTAAAACTAAATAAATAAAAATAGAGTAAATTCCATCCAATTAAAGGTAATTTTTCATATTTAGACCTTATTTTTTAGAACTGGAAAAAAAGAGCTGGATGTTAGAAGGAACTGGAAGTAACTGAAAAGACTGGAAGAAACTAGAATAACCTGGAAAAACTTCAAAAAATTAAAAACCTAAAAAAACTTTAAAAAGATTTATATTAGTGTATTTTTATATTATTCTCATTCTAGTTCTTGTTATAAATTATTATTATTATTATTATATATATGATTATAATTATAATTATAATTATAATTATAATTATAATTATAATTATAATTATAATAATTATTATTATTATCATCATCATCATCATCATCATCATCATCACCACGTTATCTTAATGAATTCCTTTAAGAAAAAAACTATTGTTATTTCTCTCACACACAAAAACTACTTCTGCAAAAAAAAATATAATATAAAGTTAGCATAAATATCAAAATGTTAAATTTTTAAAAAGTTATTGTGATTACTTTGCACCTAAATTTATTTATGGAGTATTTATTATAAAATAATATATTTGTAATTATATTGTATATATTACAAGATTTTTTTAAATATCAGACGAGTCACAAAATGTAATCAAATTTTTTGTTTCCATTGTAACTTCTATTTTTGGAATAAAGACAAAGAACTTTTATTTTTGTACATTTTTTTATATTTTACTCATATTTTATTCTTTTTCTCTAAACTATTTTGACTTTCTAATTTTTTTATAAAAATTAGAAAAAAAAAAAAAAAAAATTTTGAAATAAATAAAAACGAGAAAAAATTGAGTAATAAAGGAAAAGGTGAGGGGTCTTATATAAAGTTAGATTAATAAAACATTCAATGTAACTATTTTATCCGTAATTTTTTAATATAGTTTAAAATATTGTTGTTTTCCTATTTTATCATGGAGATTAATTTACAAAAAATTAGTCTTATTCATATTAAAAGTTGAAGGAAAAATAATAATGAATATGAATCGTAAAAATAGTGATATAAAAGAATAATTTATAAACTATAGTTATGAACATTATAGTTGTAATGGTAATAATAATAACATTAAAAATACTTCCTCCGTCCCACTATATTTGTCCACTTTCATTTTTTCACACCATCCAATATACTTCTTTAATCCATTTTATCTTGTAATTTGTATATTAAAAAATTATAAAAGTTATATATTAATAATCTATACGTTAAGACAAATCAAACAAGATCACGCATGACTATATTTAGGCTTACACATTGAGAGAATTTGATGAGTCAAAGTGCTTAGATGAACAGTTCCAAAAGTCAAAAGTGGACGAATATAGCGGGACGGAGTATATCGTTTTTAGAGTAATTGGTTGGAGAATAGAAATATTTTGAAGAAAACGAGAGTAGTTAAAAGAAACTGGATGACACGGAAGAAACCGAAAGGAGCAAGAAGAAACTCAAATTTAAGAGTTTTAGCTCTAAAAAACAAGCGCATAGTTTGTAATTATATGATATCCTATAAATGGTTCTAAATTTAAGAAAAGTATTCCTCGACTGGTTCTTCATGGACTATGTGTAGAAACAATGTTGTTTCATATTTGGGACTACATATGGAATACATTTCAAAAATTGTAGACTATTTATTAAATACTCGGTATCTTATAATTGAAGATTGAATATGAAAAATCACTTGTGATTGGGAATAATTTATACTCCTTCGGTCCCGCAAAAAAATTCCCATTTTGAATAGTGTTTAGTCAAATATTTACACGCTTTGACTACAAATTGTGAGAAAGGTATATTAAATTATAAAAGAAATTTAATATAATTGAATTTATCTTAGGATCTAGTTTTGATATCTCACATTTTTTTAGCATTTTTTTATTTAAATTATATTTAATTTATGGTCAAAGCGTGTAATTGTTTGACCAAAAATACATCAAAATGAGAACTTTTTTGTGGGACGGGGGGAATTGAATTTACTTATAAAAACAATTGTATTTCATAGGACTTTTTTTTCAACAAAGGAATTATTTTAAGATGGGAAAAAGAATAAAAGGAAATCAAGACTTTTGAATGGGGGAGATTGCCTGCCTTGGCAAAATACTACTACCCCGTAATAGTGGTAACATGTTCAATGTTGGAATAACAACAAATCCAAACTCAACAAACACACCACCCCAAAACCAAATTTTTAGTATGTAAGATTTATGTTCATTTTATGGATCTTAATTTATTGTTATCGTAAAGAAATGAAAGTTTTGCAAAAAAATATATACATATTTGCTGGGCCATAAAAAATGTGAGAAGTTTCACATTTCACGTATAGACTTTAGAACTACAAAAGAACAATTCTCTTGTTTAATAAAACTCAATCCCTAAATATATCCTTAATTAATCAATCAATGTTGGTGGGCGTTGCGCAGTTGACAGAAGCGGATCCAGGAATTGGGAGTCATGAGGTCTCGTTTCTTTAGTTATGATTACATTTATTATTATTCATAACTCATACCTTAAATAAAATAAAATAAAAAATTTAGTATTTGAATGTAAATTCAAATTATGCTTTCAAATTGATTTTTCAAAAGCATTAATTCTTTCCAATGCAATTTTTTAAGATAAGGAGTAATATTCAATAATTTAGCATTCAATCATTTTAATATTTGAAATGATTCTGTGTTATACTGTGTTCCCTTCCATATTTTTTTGCAGGTTGAGCCGGGGGTCTCTTGGAAACAGCCTCCCTACTTTCGAGTAGGGGCAAGGTCTGCGTACACACACCCTCCCCAGACCCTACTGTAGCGGGATTCAATTGGGTTGTTGTTGTTGTTATCTATTTTTGTTTACTTATGTTTTGACTTTTGGTATGCCGAACCGAATACATAGTACATTTCGGTACGAGTACGCGGTACGGGTACGAAGTTTTGGAGTCAATTATTTTGACTCCAAAGTCAAAATTAACTTGGAGGGTGCAATTGAAGGGGGTGGGGGGCCGTGTCTGGGTCGGGGCGGGGTGGGGGGGTTTACCGGGAGGGTTAGAAGGGGTAAGAACTGTCAATTTTACGAACGGGACACCGGAGCAACCTCGGGTTATCCCATGACATTGGTTCCCAATGTGATGGGAACCGGCCTCGTAAACTTATTCTTTTATTATTTCTTTAGTTGATTAGTTCATTTCTTGCTTCTTTGTAGGTTTTATAAACTGATTTAGTACGGCTAATGTTTTTTTTTTTTATTTGCATCATCATTTTTGGAAAGCTAAGGTCCGTTTTTTTAATTTTGTTTCTAAAACTAATCAGTGTAACTTTTTTTTAAATACTGATGTTGCATCATCATTTATTGATTTTTTGAATTAGTTTCCTTTTTCCATCATCTCCCATAGAGCCAAAATTTCACCATTTTTTGGCTTTGGGGTGTGATGGAATAAATCAAAATGGATCTTTAAACTGTCTGCGCTTCTTTAATTAATGAAGTAGCAGTTAGTCAAGCAATGCAACTTTCGACGTTGAGCCGGGGGTCTCTTTGGAAACAGCCTCTCTACTTTCGAGTAGGGGTAAGGTCTGCGTACACACACCCTCCCCAGACCCTACTCTTGTGGGATTTAACTGGGTTGTTGTTGTTGTTGAATTAGTTTCTTATTTCAGTTTATTTTAAAAAATTGATTTGTTTTTTTTCCTTTTGCATCTTCAATTCATTCTTAAAAATTTATTTTTTTGTTTAGTCTCTTATAAACTGATTTATAAAATGATTCTCGGATCACTTCGTAAATGAATTTCTGATTTTACTTCTTCCATAAATTACACATGATCTTCTAAAGTGATTGAGCGGCCCTAGACGGTGTGTGTTGTTATTGTAAAGGACGAGTCCATCCCCAAGGATCTCCTTAGACTCGGCAGTACGATCACTAAGAAGAGATAAATTGGACTTTAATCGCAGATTGATGGCAAAGAATTGAGCCTGCACCTGCAGATACTTGTAGAAGTCCAGTGCTTAGCATAGTTGCCTTCCAGCGTAGTTGTCAGAATCGAAATCGAGTCTTATTTTCTTAGTACACATTACATTGCCAACAACGCAACGCCTGATCTCTTTTTATTTTGAATGTGAAAGTCGTGTTAACTGTTACCACCCGTACGCAAGTACCTTAGTCCTGAAATGGATTGAATGTTGAACACAAGTACTTTGGAGTTATCCTAATTTCATAAATGAGAAACGATCATATCACCAAAAAGAAGTTAGAAAATTGTGAATTTCAACATGTCAATGGTGAATTGTAAAATGCTAGAGGTACACCAAAAGTGTACCCTAAACATCCCCCACCCCATCCATCACCATAAAAAAAATAAGAAAAATTCAAAAAAAAAAATTAAAAACAAAATAAAATAAATGGTAAAAAGAGAGGTATTGTACGTTTGGGGTACACCTTTTGGTGTACCTCTAGCATATTCCTGGTGAATTTAAAGCTAAGAGGTTCAGTAGATACTACAAAGCATGTACCCGAGTATAATTTTTGTATGGTATTCCCACGCACGGTGTCTAACGAAATTTTTGTTTATTATATTCTGTAAATTATCTTCAATGTAATATTCCTAAATGAGTTTATGAAAATATATGTAATGCATTATTTAACATTATAGACATTAAAATTAAAGTGAAATAAATAATTTAGCCTTAAATATATATTTGGTACTGAAAATGCTTACAGCATATAAATTCAAAAGTAACACTTCAAAGTCTTTTTTAAATCCAATTTTTTTTGAAAGCCTTCAGGGAATACAACATGTTTGGTGTGGTTGAAAGAATTTTCATTATCATTTAAAACCAATATTTTTAACTCTCTCTTGGTTTCACTCGTGAAACAATGACATAAAATTGAACATAAATGAACTTCAACGTGGCTAAAAATAATTCAACAAAAAACAATGTTTGGCATAAACTTTTGTTCATAGTCATAGCAAAACATAAAGTCTTCATCGCAGTATATCTTCCTTTAGTCTTCATTCATTATATATATATATATATATATATATATATATATATATATATATATATATAGTGTTTAACATCATACGACAACTTTTCTTTGTCATAGTTCAACTTCTCTACCAAAAATTATTTTTAAATCTATTAAGTGGACTGTCATATCAGAATGACAAACCACTAAGCTTCTATGAGGATCGTTTACTTGAATTACGTAACTTTTCAATCTCAAAGAAAAATATAAGATCTTTAGATCTTCTCGGAAAATAATAAATTTTGTAAAAAATAAATAAAATGAGACTAAATTATTCCAACGCATATCTCAATTCTAGAATTCTGTATACATACTAAGCATTTCATATTTATCTTTATATAAATAATAGAAACTATTTTTTTTTATAGAAATACCTTGATTATGCAATATTCCTCTTCGGTCAAATATAATTTCATCAACCAAGAACTCCCATGATTTTTCTCAAATAACTTGGGGACGACTCATGGTATTCAGGGGCGGAGGGAGGGGAGCATGCAGGGGCACGTGCCCCCCGGCGAAGATCCGGCAAAGAGGCTCCATCAAGTATTCTGGACTCCGGCGATATGGTGCCCCACCGGAAGTGCAGCAGTCGTCAGACTCAGCTTGTACGAGATTAATTATCATTATTATTATTATTACTATTATTAATGGTTAGTGATTATTATTATTATATTAGGTAGTATCATTATTTATGGTTAGTTAATTATATTATTATTAGAAAGTAGTATTCTATTGTTAGGATATTTGTTACCATTTATAATTAGGATTCCTAAATTATTTAGTTTCCTTTTATGGTAAGGATTCTTTAGATGTCCTAACTATAAATGTATCAATTTCAATAAATTATTAATGAATGAATAAAGAAAATATTTTCTCCTAAGTCTTAATCTCTTTCTTTTTCGCCTCTTTTGTTCTTGGAGCTCGAAATCCTTCTCTATCCCGATACGATACCGTAACGTATCTGGCGTGATTCTTCACTAAGCTGGACCTCCGCTCGGGCTACCACCAGATACGCATGCATGCGTCGGACATCTTTAAAACCGCTTTCCATACCCATGATGGCCACTTTGAGTTCCTTGTTATGCCGTTCGGCCTCACCAATGCGCCATCAACATTTCAGGCAGCCATGAACCACATTTTTGCCTCCTTGCGCAAAATACCCTTCTGAGATGAAACATAAAAAATTATTTTGGATATCAAATGAGTAACAAAAATTGAAAAAAAGTGAAAGAAATTTGACTCTTTAAATACTGGACAAGTAATTTAATATGTATTCGATGAAGTACATTTAATTTTATACTCCCTCCGTCACAGTTTTGATTAGAAAAAGACTAAAATAAAAGTAAAACATTAAAAATATACTTAAATAGCAGTTTCATGTTTTTATTTTCAAAGTAGAAGTTAAAATGCATTTATATTATCAATCATGACTATGTACATTACCAAAAATTATAATAAAATGTATATGTACAATGATATATTACCATAGTGCAAACTCGATCCTATTTAAGAAATAAAAACATGGAACTTGTGTTTTAGTATCTTCTATATGTTTTACTTCTATTTAGTTATTTGTTATTTTGATTGCATTTTTCTCTCTCATTTCACGATAACTTTTGCTTATTTTTGTATTTTCATTGATTATTTGATAAAATAATATATTCTTATCACATTTTATTTTGTAGAACTTTTGACATAGTTTGTAATATGTATTTTTTATTTTTTATTGATATAGTAATTCATGATTAAAATAATACCAAAAGATATAAAGTTTTACCTCGTAAATCTCAATTTATAATCAAATTTGGAAAGAGAGAGTAGCATATAAAAGTTCCCTTGGAGATGTAGTCAAGTAGATTTCTTCAAATTAAAGAATACTAACACTATGTTTGGTTCAGGGAATTTGAAAAGAAAAAACAAAAATGAAATTGCGAGTTTAACAAAACATACTCAGGGAAGGAAAATCAAATTCCTCTCATTTTGGTGAGAAAATTGAGAAAAATTATTATTTTTCGTTTCTTTCTCAATTGTAACAAAAAAAACAATCTGGGCAATAAGATCATACAACACTTTTAATAATATTTTATTTCAACGCAATTACGTACTTCTTAAAATGATTACTAAAAGGAATAAAAAGTATACAGAGCATAAGAGTAGTACAATGATTTAATCTCAATAAAAAAATATCTGCCGGATCATTTAAATAAAATAAATTGAAATTATTATCATCACACAGTACAAAGAGTAGATGGTTGGAAATGGAATGACCAACAGAGTAGATAGTTGGTTCTCCTCCGGTTCCCCAATACCCCACTCCACTGAACCGCCTACCCAATGTAACCAAACATAAAAAAGTAATCTTCCCAGACACTATTCATATGGTCAAACTATAATTATCTTTTTTATCTATTTTCATTTGATAAAATAATATAGTCATGTCACCTCTTCATTTGTAAATCTTTTGATGTTGTTTTAAGATATATAAAATGAATTGAAATTCATTTCAGTCAAACCTTGTAAATTGAACTGAGAAGATCATTTTAAGACGGAGAGAGTACTACGTAAAGTACATAAATAAATACTTCATACGTTCCTTTTGAATCTTTCCAATTAACTTTTAGAAAAAGACTAAAATAGAAATAAAACATTAAAAATATACTAAAAATCTAAAATAAAATTTTCATGCTATTATTTTTAAAATGGAAGTTAAAATACATTTACAGTGCCAGTGTCAATCATGACCATATATATTACCAAAAAATATTGTAAAATTTTCATATGAAGTGTCATATTACCACAATGCAAACACCTATTTTGAAGATAAAAACATAAAGTTTTTATTTTAATGCATTTTCAATGTTCTACTTCAATTTTGCGTGATTACTTTTCACAGAATTCAAAATAAAAAAACATCATTATTTATAAGCCGTACAAAATTCAATGTATTTTAAAATAAACTTATTAATATTAAATGATTTTTTTTCTAAATTTTCAATGATTAAATGATTTTAATATTAAATGATTTTTTTTCAGAATTCAATGATTTTTTTTCTAAATTTTAGTCAAAATTTTAAAAAATTAACCTTGAACATCAAATCAGAAAGATTCAAAATTAGAATAAAAATAAAGCCCATTTTAGCCCTTTCTTTTTCTAATTTACTGTTGTTATTCAAAGAGTAATGTGAAAATGAACAACTGTAGGAACACCACACCTTTGAAATACAGAGACCAAACGATTGCCCTAGGGACCAGACAACGCACAGTTTCATCATTTTGAAGAAAATAATGGCACCAAAAATTAAACATTCGTAGTGAAAAAAAGGGATGCCTTTTAGCACTTAAATAATTGTCCTTCTTGACTTCTTATTGAATTCCCAATAATACTTTTGAAATTTTGATTACAATGGAGGCCATAGAATCTTTAACAAAAAAACCCCCCATCTCTATAATCTCTCCATTCCACTAGTTTATAGTAAACATAATTCTATAGAAAAACTTAAACATAAGCTTCATCAAACACTTGTTGCTATTAGCCAATGGATCTTCAAGCCATCTTCTTCGAACCCGTAAGCTGTGGATCAGTCTGGTAGAAAACAACCTCCCCTTCGTCGCTCACGTAGTGATCCTCGCTCATGCTCTTGAACAGAACAGGAAGAAGATGGAATGGGATGAGCCCAGATTTCTTCGGCTCTCTGTAATACTTCCCCA